TCGTTACTGATAATGTATGAATATATTATGAACATAGGTGTAGTTTAGTGGCCTGCATACCTGGTTGTAGCACGATATTCAAGGGAGAAAAAAGGAATGAGTAAAAAGGCAGCAGAGAGAAAATACTTATATTTCTTTCACCAAACAGCAAGCAATGTATGAACAATATGATATGTACAGTAAGGTAACGCAAGCAAGACACGACGAGAACAGTCTTCGACCAGGCTTAGAGGTAAGTCTGCCAATGTTGATTCACTAGTGTCCCACATCCCTTCACAACTCTGGCGGGCTTCCTTGTCATTGACTGGCTGAACCAAGGTGCTAACATAGCGAGGGGAACCCTACTCCTTATACTCTTAGCACCTGGTTCGCTGGTCGGGAGGTCATGCCTATACGAGTGTGTGACATACGCCGAACAAAATGTAACGTACTCTTAGCATGCTACAGTATATTTTTCTAATGGTGAGTTTATATGTCCTTCCAGGTAATCAATCCTAAAGTACTGACCACCTCTTTTAACACTGTGTAGAAGTTTACGAAGCATGAGAGGCTTAGGGTGGTTGATTTTTAACTGATTTTTTATATACCCCTACACAAGGTATTTTAACCCCCTAACCTCCATGTAACTTCGTAACATAGGGTACTAGCTGGATAGATGGTTGAGTAGGGTATCAGCTGGACAGATAGTTGGATGAGTAGAGTACCAGCTGGAAAGATGGATGTATGGGAGTGGGGTACCAGCTGGATAGATGGATAAGTAGAGTACCGCACTGATGGATGAGTTTATAGATAAAGAGCGGAAAATGTAAACTAATAGGTGAGGAAGTGGGTGGGTGTTTGGATAAATGGAAAGATAAGTGAATGATTGGATAAGCATACATCTATATATCAGGCAGCAAGTAGTTCTGTTATAGTGCCTTCGGCCCACAACCAAGAGACCCACATTTAATCCTGGGCAGATGAAGACGAGGGAAATTCCCCTTGCACCTGCTGCCCCAGTTCACCTAGCAGTAAATAGGTACGTGGAATTAGCGGAGTGTTGTGAATGACATCCTGGGTGAAGGGGAGGAGTACATGTTTGTGAGATAGGTGTAATTCAAAATGATTCACTGTAGCTTCTTTCAGCAACTATGCACTCATCAGAAGTATAATAGCTCCTGACCTTGAAATTCGCTTTCATTCTGAACGGCGCCATAATGTAATTTTTTTTTTCCACCAAGCAATTAAAAACTCTGAAATGGAATGTGATGGTCCCTTCCTCTGGAATATTTACTTCAATGACAAATCTTGCCTTTACTTGACCTAGGTGGTCCTGTCAGTTATCAAGATCCTCAATTTCTTCTGGCAAACAAAATGTCTTTAAAAACCTTTAAAACAGATGTCGGTAACATTACTCTCATGCACAAGACCTATGTTTCCCAGGTCTATCTTATTACAACTTTGTGGAGATAACCGTTATAGCACAAGACGGGCAATCAACAATAGCTTCGCTCTGGCTATACCCTAATCAGGGACATAACTACATCAGCGATCATACATGCCTCGAATGACTCGTTTAGAAAAATTCTCAGTATATGAACAACGGAACAAGAAAGTGAACTGACCAAATAATAACTGACTCAACGTTGGCATAATTATTGTTTAATATTAAAAATATAGACAAACAAATTATCTTTACAATACAAATATTAATAGACCCAAGTTTTGACAAGGGACGATGTAAGGTAACAGTTCTTAGCTTGTCAAATAAGCTCCAGTAAGATAAGAGCTCTAAGCCTGATAAACACAAGCAGCATCTCTGAGCTTAAAGAAATACGAAAGAAAGAGATTCGTAAAAAAAAAAAAAATAGAAATTTTGAGGAGTCGATTCCAAAGAAATTGGAAAATGAAAGATGCGTAAAATGAATCCTTTGATGGGAAGAGTGTGAGGGACATGTCTCTGAAGGGAGGGGGGAGAGAAACTGCTGGAAGAGACGTGGAAGGAAGGGGAAACTGGTGTAAGAGACGTGAAGGGAGGGGAGACTCGTGAACACTACATTTATGTTAGACACACCAGCTTAGTAAGTACTACAGCCACGTTAACTTTTTTTAGTAGTCTTAATCCTAGAAGGAGGGAGGGAATCGTATGCGTTTCTGGGAGAGAGGGAGGTAGGAGTGATAGGCGTGGGTGGAGGGAGGGAGGAGTAATAGGCGTCGGTGGGAGGGAGGGAGGGAGGAGTAATAGGCGTCGGTGGGAGAGAGGGAGGGAGGGGTGATAAGTGTGTCTGGAGGAAGGGGTGATAGGTGTGGGTGAAGTGGGCGGAGCAGTGAGTTAGTTTAATATGTTTATTATGCACCCCATACCCATCCTGTGGGCGGTAGTCAAAAGATTACAGAGGTACATAATTGGTCCAGGGACTGGACTCCAAAGTTTTGATAGCTGAGCAAGTTACAGAGGTAATGAACTCACAATTTACAAAGGTAATGAACTCACAATTTACAAAGGTAATGAACTCACAATTTACAAAGGTAATGAACTCCAGGTAAGTCTGGTCACAATCATGACAAGTTACAAAGGTATTTACAGATTACAGAGGTACGTAATGGGTCCAGGGACTGGGCCCCCAAAGTTTTGATAGCTGAACTAGGTACAAAGGTAATGAGCTCACAAGTTACAAAGGTAATGAATTCTGTAGAATGGTTACTTACGTTTATACTTTGGCTACAATCATGAACAAATTATAGAGTAATGAGCAATTCACACTTCCACACCCGGTCACAACTGTAATGAGTTATTGGTGCAAATATTGATTGTTGAGTCACACACACCACACACACACACACACACACACTTTAGTTTAATATCTTTATGCACCCCATACCCATCCTGTGGGCGGTAGTCAAAAGATTACAAAGGTACATAATGGGTCCAGTGACTGGACCCCAAAGTTATGATAGCTGAACTAGTTACAAAGGTAATGAACTCCAGGTAGATCTGGTCACTAATCATGGCAAGTTACAGAGGTAATGAATCAGCTTCACTCCTATACATGGTTACAGTCATGAACAAATTACAAAGTAATGAACCATTGATACGTCCACACCTGGTCACAATTGTAATGAGTTATAAATACAAATATTAAGTGGATCATACACCCACACTAGTGCGCGCGCGCACATACACACACGAGGGCGCACGCACGGACATGTGCACACGAGCGTACAAATATATGCATACACACAAGGACGCACACCCACACACACACACCCACACACACACCCACACACACACACACCAACACCCACACACACACACCCTCACACACACCCACACACACACCCTCACACACACACCCACACACACACACACACGCCCCCCCCCCCCCCCCCCCCACACACACACACACACAATGTGGTAATGCTTTATTTACAGCTAGCAAAGTCAGGGTATTTCTCCAGAATGGTCTGCAATATACCACAGTGGATAAAATACTTAGCCATTTCTTGAACACTTCTGAGCGAGTTGTTTCTAAATTCATTAATTTGATCACACTCCAGTACATAATGACGCAATGTGTGACAATAGTCCATCTGGCAAAGTTTACATTTCGTTTGGTCTACATCTGGTGGTGGTGATTTAACCTGCCAAAGATACTTGTAACCCAGCCGGAGCCGGGCAGTAGTGACATCCAAGCGTCTACTTATCTTGTATTCGGTGTATGTCACACACCCACATAGGCTGCCTCCCGACCAGCGGAGCAGGTGCTAAAGATATAATGAACAGGGGCCTTATCGTTATGTCAGTACCTTGATTCAACCAGCCAATTACAAGAAAGCCCGCCAAGGTTGTGAAGCGGTGTGGTACACTCGTGAGTTATAATGTCCTTGGCAGACTTACCTCCACATCTGGTGGCTACGGTTCTCACAGTGTCTCTTGCCTTATTGTACATAGCTGTATATATTATGCATAGGCTGAATATATTTTACATACCAGATTATTTGGCGAAGGAAATACAAACAATTACTCATCTATCTTTTTGCTTGTTCCTAAGTGGTTATTGTGCTACAGCCAGGTGTGCAGAACCGTATACTACACCTGTGCTCGTAATATGGATAAAGAGGGAGGAAGAACTAATAGACCTGAATGAAAAAAAATAATTTATTATTAGTAAAACTGAATGTAACATTGTGTTGATACCTTTTCTTGAGTTAACACACACACACATTATATATATATATATATATATATATATATATATAATGTATGAGAGAGAGAGAGAGAGAGAGGAAACAGAAAGAATGGGGAAGAGGGGCACATGGTGAGAGAGAGAGAGGGGGCGTGTCTGAAAGGATGAAGGGGGTGTGTAGGAGTGAGAGGGAGGGGGTTAAGATAGGCATGTGTTGAGGGAGAACAAGGAGGGAGAGTTCTAGGACATATATAGAGAGGGAAGAACGAGGTGGATGGGTGTTTAAAAGGAAAGTGTGTTTGCAAGAGAGAGGAATGGAGACGAGAGTGTAAGGTACCGATGCGGTGGAAAAACCTACGAGTGAACATCACACCAAACATATCACTGGAGGTGAACATCAAGCACATAACTTGGACAGTGTTTTCCAGGTAGAGAAGAGCCTTCAGTGACCTTAATAATCATTCTGGACGCTATTTACTACAAAATTGACGCTGATCATAGGGCTGAAACTCGGCAAACTTCAGACTTTAGCAACCTGACTAGTACTGGAACAGAAACATGCATTATAATACACATAAGTAAATAAATATATAGACCTTGGAAGAGATGGATCAGGGAAAACTTTATTACGATATATAAGAAACTGAGAAATTCACAGGGTACACAAGGAAACCTTTTTTGAAAAAAAAAAAAAGATATGGCTGGAAATTACACATAACTGATGCATAGTCATTTTAAAGTACCTGTTCAGTCTCAGAGTGCTAGAAAATGAGGCCTCATCCTGAAGAAACAGGTGGGGTGACTAACCTGGGAGACACAGGTGAGGAGACTGACCTGGGCTGGAGAGGAAGAAGAGGACAAAGGCTGGGGTGAGCAGCGCCGCCGTAAACACTACCCCCAGCCGCCGCCGCAGCATCCTCCCCACACTGACAACACAGAAAAAAGTACATTGTACGTAAATTCAGTTAATGTAAGGACAAGAAACTACGGGACGGAGAGAGAGAAATGGGTCAAATACCTACTGCCCCTGAGGAAGAAGGGGCAGTCACTGATACTGAACTGAAATAAAAGCTGAATGTTAGATGAGTTTCTCTGGTTTTGTGGCTATGGCTTGACATCTGTTACAGAAGTGTAGAACTGTGCTTCTGAATGGATGGGGGTGATGAGATCTGGACTGACTCCACGAATGATTTAATACTGGTGTGTGGGAGTTTAAGGGTGACAAGGAAGATTTAGGGAAGGGGATCTGAGGCTATCGGAGTTAATAGGTAAGGAGAATGTGGGAAATTGTTGGAGAGGATGTACTGAAGAACCTGCTGGTGGAAAGCATGATGAGGGAGGAGGAGGAGGAGGGTGCTGAGTGGTTTGTTCTGTCAGGGTCTGTGGAACTGAAGGATGGGGGTTTGTTTTGTTGGGGGGGGAACAGATTTCTCCTCTGCCCCTCTGTGACTTTCTCTGTCATTTGTGTGTGTGTGTATGTATGTATATATATATATATATATATATATATATATATATATATATATATATATATATATATATATGTCGTGCCGAATATGTAAAACTGGTCAATTAGCAAGAACTCATTTAAAATTAAGTCCTTTCTAAAATTTTCTCTTATACGTTTAAAGATATGTTTTTTTTCATTAATGTTAATGTAAAAATTTTTAATATTGCACCAAAAGAATCTTAGAAAACTTACATAACCTTATTATAACAAGAACAATTTATTTTAGCCTAACCCAACTAAATATATTTTAATTTGTTTACAGTAATTTAATACTAAACAAACACAGTGAAATATATTTTTTTCGTTAGGCTCAGAATGATTTTGGCGAAATTATTGCATACACGAATTTTCGCTTGTCCTATATGGCAAGATGAGCGTTGCTATTTAAGCCAAGATCGCAAGTTCTGCCAATTCGGCACGACATTATATTATATATATATATATATATATATATATATATATATATATATATATATATATATATATATATATATATATATTTTATGTATGCATGCATGCAAAGTCATGGAGAAGATTATCAGGAGGAGAGTGGTGGAGCACCTGGAACTGAACAAGATTATAAACAACAACCAGAACGGATTCATGGGGCAAATCCTGTGTCACAAACCTCCTGGAGTTTTATGACAAGGTAACAGAAGACACGAGAGAGAGGGGTGGGTTGATTACATTTTCCTGGACTGCAGGAAGGCCTTCGACACAGTTCCTCACAAGAGATTAGTGCAGAAGCTGGAGGATCAGGCACGTATAACAGGAAGGGCACTGCAATGGATCAGAGAATACCTGACAGGGAGGCAGCAACGAGTCATGGTACGTGATGAGGTATCACAGTGGGCGCCTGTGACGAACGGGGTCCCACAGGGGTCAGTCATAGGACCAGTGCTATTTTTTATGTATGTGAATGACATGATGGAAGGGATAGACTCTGAAGTGTCCCTGTTCGTAGATGATGTGAAGCTAATGAGAAGGATTAAAATGGATGAGGATCAGGCAGGACTACAAAGAGACCTGGACAGGCTGGACACGTGGTCCAGCAACTGGCTTCTCGAATTCAACCCAGCCAAATGCAAAGTCATGAAGATTGGGAAAGGGGAAAGAAGACCGCAGACAAAGTATTGGCTAGGTGGACAAAGACTGCAAACCTCACTCAAGGAAAAAGATCTTGGGGTGACCTGGCCTGGTGGTTAACGCTCTCGCTTCACACGGTGAGGGCCTGGGTTCGATTCCCAGCCAGAGTAGAAACATTGGACGTGTTTCTTTCCACCTGTTGTCTATGTTCCCCATCAGTAAAATGGGTACTTGGGTGTTAGTCGACTGGTGTGGGTCGCATCCTGGGACACTGACCTAAGGAGGCCTGGTCACAGACCGGGCCGCGGGGGCGTTGACCCCCGGAATTCTCTTCAGGTAAACTTCAGGTTTCAGGACCATAACACCGAGCACGTCTCCGGAGGCACACATTAACCAGATAACTGCTACAGATTGGGAGCTGGGAAAACCGAGAAAATATGGGCGGTGCAGATACCTCATCAAGGAAAGTCTTAGTGACCTGGCACTGTGTACGCTCACGCCAAACTGGAGTATGAGCCAGTTGGATTCCCACAGGTCAGAGTAAGAAAATTGAGACGTGTCAAGGTTTGCCCCACAAAAAGGGTAGTTCGGGAGTCAGTGTGGGTGTCCTACGAGATAAGGTTGAGGGAAACGGACTGACGGACACTGGAGGACGGAGGGTAGGGAATCTTGTCATAAAATTAAGGTTTGGAATAACAAGAGTAGGCAGGACAGACTATTCAACAGGGACACAGATAAGCAAGGGGCCAATTGGGAAGCTGAGAGACTCGATACGAGTAAGGGATGTTGAAGACTTCTTAGTCACTGTGTAGTTGTGCAGAACTGGGATAATCAGCAAGTTGTGTGGAAGCAGAACCTTCATAGCTTTAAGACAGTTATGACGAAAGCTCAAGGTTTGCAAGGCAGAGGCTAGTAGCTCGGAGAGGCGGGAGGACATGTCCTACGAAGAAATTAGGCATACGAATTGGTGAGGACACACAGGACAGGAGCAGGACAGACAGAAACATACACAAAAATCTTCATAGTTATCTAGAGTATACAGAGGATTTTAAGTGGGAGCACAGAACAGGGGTCCTCATTAGCTGTACCTCTCAACCCAGCTCACTCGATGTGGAGTCTTCGTTCTTCACAGACTTGTCAAGTACATGTGGATTTTTCTAGAGTGTGTTGGAAGCGGAACCGTTCATATTAAAGAAAGAGGTTCGTGATGAAGCTTAGGTGTTTGAGGTAAGTTCGAAGACCTGTTAGCGTTGCAAGAGCAGGGGCCTGGCTGATGTTATCGTTTGCTCCATGGAGACAGTTTGGGGTTTGGTGACAACACAGCACAACACTGACCACGACACATCACAATAACTCCTCAAAGTTATCTATTCCTTCAAATAAAGTGGCTCCTTGTTCGTTACTTAAGTTTCTCTATTTATCCATGTCATTAATTCTTCTTCCTTTTACCCCACTTTTGGCTTTTTTTAGGGTGGCTTTCATTAGGGCACCGATATCAAAAGGCCTATGAAGTTTGGGGGAAATGTTGAAAGTCATGTTACTAACTTAGGCTGTGTGTGTTTTCTTTTCTGTTCAAAATTTTGAGAAGGTAATTAGCAATATTTCATACCAAACTTCCCCGCGAACACACATTAACTCCCACCTTCCTCCCCAAAGTGTTTTCTTACTAAAGTATATCTTGTACCGTAATTTCTTTCTTTTACCCGATGGCAATGAGGAGTTTCAGTTGTGAACCGCCTAACAGTTAGAGATGCTGGGTCTCAAAGGTATGTTTTCCATCTGAGTTAAATTTCTGGACGTCAAATATGCAACTTTCAATACAGTAACTTCCCATCAGACGCAGCTGCGCACACCAGTTATTATTAAAGTCCATTGCGCAACAGTCAGTAATCAAATTATGAACTCAGACCGTAGTATCACGAGATGCTGGGTCAAGTATTTTACAAGGATATATTTATCCATGGCTACGTCCACTAGCTAACATGCTATATACCAGTGGCTAACCATCCACTACGCTACCAGTGCTATATAACATTGGCAACATATCACTATTTACCAGTGTTATATCAGCACAGTGGAACATATCAGTTTACCAGGTCTATATACCAGTGGCTAACTATCCACTAGCTTACCAGTGCTATATACCAGTGGCTAACTATCCACTAGCTTACCAGTGCTATATACCAGTGGCTAACTATCCACTAGTTTACCAGTGTTATCTATATACCAGTGGCTAACTATCCACTAGCTTACCAGTGTTATATACCAGTGGTTAATCATCCAATAGTTTACCAGTGCTATCTATATACCAGTGGTTAACCATCCACTAGCTTTCCAGTGTTATCTATACACCAGTGGTTAACCATCCACTAGATTACCAGTGTTATCTATATACCAGTGGTTAACCATCCACTAGCTTACCAGTGTTATCTATATACCAGTGGTTAACCATCCACTAGATTACCAGTGTTATCTATATACCAGTGGTTAACCATCCACTAGCTTACCAGTGTTATCTATATACCAGTGGTTAACCATCCATTAGATTACCAGTGTTATCTATATACCAGTGGTTAACCATCCACTAACTTACCAGTGTTATCTATATACCAGTGGTTAACCATCCACTAACTTACCAGTGTTATCTATATACCAGTGGTTAACCATCCACTAACTTACCAGTGTTATCTATATACCAGTGGTTAACCATCCACTAACTTACCAGTGTTATCTATATACCAGTGGTTAACCATCCACTAACTTACCAGTGTTATCTATATACCAGTGGTTAACCATCCACTAACTTACCAGTGTTATCTATATACCAGTGGTTAACCATCCACTAACTTACCAGTGTTATATACCAGTGGTTAACCATCCACTAACTTACCAGTGTTATCTATATACCAGTGGTTAACCATCCACTAACTTACCAGTGTTATCTATATACCAGTGGTTAACCATCCACTAACTTACCAGTGTTATATACCAGTGGTTAACCATCCACTAACTTACCAGTGTTATCTATATACCAGTGGTTAACCATCCACTAGCTTACCAGTGTTTATTACCAGTGGTTAACCATCCACTAACTTACCAGTGTTATATATACCAGTGGTTAACCATCCACTAACTTACCAGTGTTATATACCAGTGGTTAACCATCCACTAACTTACCAGTGTTATCTATATACCAGTGGTTAACCATCCACTAGCTTACCAGTGTTATATACCAGTGGTTAACCATCCACTAACTTACCAGTGTTATATACCAGTGGTTAACCATCCACTAACTTACCAGTGTTATATACCAGTGGTTAACCATCCACTAACTTACCAGTGT